ATTCTCATGCTAGAGATTTTTATGGTAGAGGGCAGCCTCAAGGTACATGCGTTCTTCTCGAAGTACCGTCCTTGATAGTTTAGTACATTATTTTCAGATTATACATAACAATGATATATTAGAAGGGAAAGGAGTGCAAATTGAGGATATTCAAAATAGGATGGTTTTTAAAAACAGTGTAAATGAAACAACAAACTTCAATCTATCAAATCTAAGTTGTCCTGTTGCTCTATGCTCTCTTTGCTACTCTATCATGAGACCATATGATTACTGGAATTACAACTCATCCTTACCCACCATTGTTGACAATGGCAAAAAAAGTGTCGTAAATCAAATTTAGAACGCAACCAGCTATCACCAGCTAATCTTCCAGTAACTGTGGATGTTTGTGGAACTGAAGTAAATTTAGATAACTTATTTGAGAGTGAAGGACTATTAACTGATTCACCTCAAAGTGAGTCAATTCTTGAGAATGATATAATATATAATAGTGAATGTACAGGGTTTTTGATATCGTTTTCCTCGCATTGCATCAGTTGTATCTTTAAACCCACAAAACGATAAAAATACATGTATTTCCTTCTGCTTTATAATGAAAGAGACACGTCCCCTACTCAATACACTAAAAACATAAATGGAGCGGCTTCACTTGTTGATGTTATGGAAAAATATAAGAGAAATACATATATGACACCCCAGGGCATTACAGTATACAGTTTGCTACATGTTCATGTGACGTGGTTGACAGAAATGAATTAAAAAAATTGATGAATAATCATAGACAAAAACAAGACCATAAAGCAATGGAGCCATCAAAGACAAAAATATTTTTGGAGAGAAAACAAGTAAGGAATATAACAAATAAACAGGAAACACAGAAAAAAAGTCCCAAAAGTAGTCAAAGTGATGAATTATGCACTACTCTTCTTTCATGTTAAGTTTCTGTTACAGTTGTCAGTTTTTTACAAGATATGAAAATGATTCACCAAAATAATTTGAAGTTTGGCAAACTACTGATTCCGTACAAATAAATTTTCATTATTGTTCTTGTTGGATGACAATTTCTACTATTATACCCTTGAAATATCATTTTAATTAGTGGATATATAGTCATATGAAAAAATATTAAAACTATTATAATCTTACAGTTTGTCTTTTCCTCACTGCTTATATAAAGAATGAAAACACTTAGATAATTCTCATATGCAAGTGAAAATTTGTAATTACTGTAATTAGTAGACTCTGAAGTTTTTGTTCATTATTAACTTCTACAAACTAAGTAGTCATTTTTTCATTCAAAGGCAAATGAAAATAGTGGTTTTGATCAGAATGATTTCAATAAGCCTTGGTGCTGCTGATGAATCGCATAAATGTTATCAGATGCTAAATGCTATGTTACCTTTTGTTTCTTTGCATGTTTTAGAGTGATTTTTGTTTGCCCATGAAAGAAAAAAATGACTATTTAGTTCTTAGTAGTTGATAAAGAACGAAAGAAAACAAAAGATTCACAGTACATCAATAAATATTAGTTACCCTATTCTTTCATGAAAAATGAAAATCACTTTAAGCACTAACAGTTTATTAGAACTTACCAGGTTTAATGAAATTAGTCTAACTAATGAGCCAAAATGTATTAACTAAATTATACTAGCTCTTTAACTCTTTAAATTGGAGGTTATTAGTCTAAATATGCTAACAGTTAAAGTATATTTCACAGGTTCATGAAAACCACTCTAACAACCCCATCACATTAATAACTCATCTGCTAATGAGCTTTGATGGTGACTTTTTGTTGAACTAATCATTGATGAAAATAAATTATTGGAATACAGTTCAAAACCAACATTTGTGAGCAGCAAAATCTTTAATAGCAGTCTTGTAGCAATTCACATAATAAGAGAAGCAATTACATTAAAAACACCCGCATACGTGGGTATGAGTATTCTTGATCTGTCAGAAACACTTGTTTATGATTTCAAGTACAGTTACATCGAAAGCAAATACCATGACAAAGAAAAATTATTATTCGCAAACACTGACAGTTTAACATATCAAATAGATACCGAGGACGTTTATAAGGACTTTTGGGCGGACAAAAATAAATTTCACAACAGTTATATGCAGAAAATTCACCATTCTTCGACAAAACGAATAAGAAAGTCATTGGAAAATTCAAAGATGAAGCATCCGGAGTTCGTCGGCTTAAGATTAACGTTTCGTTGATTGATTTTTGATTTTACAAATTAGCTGATTGACATTTGATTTTTGCCTTGATTGACAGTCGATGGCGCAATCGTCTTAGTAGGTTTACCTTGAAATCAAATGACGCGTTTTTCAGTTGTGAAAGAGAAGGTACTGTTCCTCGCTAGCTAACCTGCAGTTTTTCTGCTGATCCGTTTCTCTCCCGTTTCGCTGAAGTAATTTCTGACTGGATAACGCCGCTAAGTAGGAAATTTGTTTTGTAACCAGTTTGATTTTCAGTCTTGTAATTTCGTATTTTCCGCATGTAATTTCATGAATCGCTTGCTGTTAGATTTCCTAAGAATTATGTATTGTCTCTTACACATCGAATAAAATCAAAGAAAGAAATATACGATTCATATCCAGTCAATTACTCGATAGCCACTTTATCCCCGGACCAATCAAATATGTAAAGGTACATGAAAGAAAATAAAAGGATGTAAAACTGCCAAAGGCATCAAGAAGAATGTTATCAGAAAAGACATCAAACACGTTGATCATAAAAATACATTATTCAACAACGATTTATCGTAAAATGAGAATATCGGAAGCGGTAATCATCAATTGGTAGCTACGAACTAAACAAAGTGTCGATGTCTTGCTTCGATGACAAGCGTTATGATGAACACTACCAAACACAGAATTAACCTTTTCGAGTAAACTTTACTTTAAAAATAAATTTCACAAATAAAACAGATTTCCACAATTTGTGTAGACAAAATGTGAAGCTTAAGATTGGTTAAAAAATCAGACCATCAATGACTCAAATCTATGGGAAAGTCCCTGTCGTATTGCATCATCGACTTGCTGTTTGAATGACGTCAACGCGTGGGAAAATGTCAATTTTCTTCTAACTACTATTTCTTAGAATCCAACTGTCCGTAATTTTCTCGGAATTCATTCTCTTTCAATATAATATAACCGTATGATCGCATTTTGTGTTGGCGTGACATGAAAACATCGAACATCTCTCTTCAATATATTATAACCATTTTGTATGTGACGACGTGACATGGAAACATCAGACAGAAAATATGCCATGAGATTTATTAGAATTTAATAACATATTTTTTCAGGAAATTATTCAGTATACTTTAACCATTTTATGAGGGCATTTCACGTTCGCGTGACATGGTGACATCGAACATCACCCAGTAAAATAGTAGTTAGGTGGTTGGTGCGCAGTTTTTGTGAAAATGCGCTCTCACCCCCAACGGCGATGCTACCGCAGGGAGGTTCCCAATAAGGAAAAACACCTTCCTTAGAACTATAGCATATCCTATCTATAAAACATTTAAAGTAGCACCCGCGCTCTCATTTGTTGATAAGTGTTTAATTTGTATTGTCGAATTAATTATTTTTGAGATGTTTTTTATAGAAGCATTTTTAACAGAGCTCTCGAAAGTCATGCAAACGTTCGACTGCGTCTCTTCTGGATTCAATGAGGCCAAGTAAACACGGCAAAAATTCCTTTTGCTTAAATAAGAAAAGTAATAATACTTCTTTGGTGTCCTATCCCTTTGTTACTTACCCCCCACTGCTATGCTACTGCAGAGAGGTTCCCAACAGGGAAAAACACCCATCTTAGAACAATAGCATATCCTATTTATAACATATTTAAAGTAGCACCCATACTCTCCTTTGTTGATAAGTGTGTTTAATCTGTACTGTCGCTTAATCTTCATTTGTCGAATTAATTATTTTTGAGATGTATTTTATAAAAGCAGTTCTAACAGAGCTCGCGAAAGTCGTACAAACGTTCGACTGCGTCACTTCTTGCATCAATGAGGCCATGTAAACACGGAAAAATTCCTTTTGCTTAAATAAGAAAAGTAATAATACTTCTTTTGTATCCTATCCCTTTGTTCGTTTCGAATTTGTTTTCTCTTAATGAGATTGGAGACAGAGAGGTCTATTATGAGATACGTTTGTTTTCGTTTTCCGAGACACCTGTGGGTTTTTTCCCAGCATTTTAAACGCTTACAAAGCATACATAAAGGCTAATTTACTTTATCAACTCAGTTGATATTACTTCTTGACCTGTTATACTCTCCCACCGTCGCAGCTCTACAGTTTCCCCAGAAACTTATACCCTTTATATTGCGAAACCGCTTACAAATCCGTTTCCAAACGCAGCCGAGGCATTTGGTTCAAGGAAGGAAAAGGATAAGGTCAGTTTTTTTGACAGCGAAGTCATGTTATTAACAAATGGTGTTTGGGGTGAAAAAAAATTCTGTCTAAGTTGGTGAAAAGCATCGAAAGTGTCGAAGTGTCAAATTTATCAACAACATTTATTCAGGGCTGCGGGATTTACTTGTGAAATTTGGTATTGAAAACAGAAACTCCAGATACCGTGATGATAAATTGAGCCCTCGCAGAAACAAAGAAAGCTCTCGACGGTTTATTGATAACATTCAAGGAGTCGATTGATTCACTCGCAAGATTCCTTCCGTTTTTGGCGGGACATGAAATCAACGCTGAAGGTTGTCTTCTACATGTTTATGTAAGCCTTTATGTAAGCAGTGACTATACTTATGAAAGTTGGACACTTCATGATTAGGACTCTGATATACAGTTGAAATATTGTATTTTCACATTAAATCCTGCGTGAATAAAACTTATTTGTGTTATGATTTCCGTTCTCTTTACAGTAACTCGGCGGATAAGCGTGTGATTGTAAGCAGAACATGGCCGTGGAGTTTATCGGTTTTTTCTCTGTGCTTCTTTTCTTTCTCTCTTCTTGTCAAGCCAAGCCGGATAACTGCAGTGAGGCTAAGTGCCAGGTCTTACCGGTTGGAGAAGGGACTGCGTCCGAACTCCGCGTGAAGGCTTCCGAGAAGGGTGTCAGAATAGTCTACTTGGATTTGAAGTTCCGTAACGACAGCTACCGTCCATTAGAGTCAGAAAACAAGTTTTTCCCAAATAGATGGGTCTGGGCGAATTTGATTAGTGAGCCAATGCTGTCTTTGTCCTATGGCTATGAAATGTTTTCCATGGGCCTCCTTAAATACCAAATAAGAGGTATGGAGGTGCTGTTGGAAGATCAACCAAGCGGATGCCTTGCGAACTTGAACTCATCCTATCAAAACAAAGTAGTTGGAAGAGCGCTTCTGAATATGACACAGTTAAACTCAGGTGAACCTCCAGACAGGAATACTGTTTGTTTTGCGATGATTGAAGATTATGGTCAAGGTTATGATGATCTTTTATGGAACTTCTTTGAGGGAAATGTCAAATTAAAGTGCTGTGAGATAAGCAAAGAAGAAACCACCAAATCTACTTACATTCAATGTGGGCTGGATGTTCAAGTTAGCGGTTGGTTAAAAGCTTTTAATGTCACACTCAACATTTTGACTGTGATAATAATGCCATTTTGTCCAGCGTTTCTCCTTTTCCTGCCGGATTCCATTTTCAATCTTCAAGAGGAGTGTAAAAAAGAAGAGCGACGCGAAAACGAGCAACAGTCAGAAGACAGCCATCATCGACAGAGCAATCAACAAAGAAGCAGGTACCGATCAACTGCTGAAGCTTCAGTAAATGACAATGCAGAAAATGACAGTTCATTTCCTCTTGGAACTCCATCTATTCCGACTCAGAGTCAACAAGCTAATTCCCAAATAGGCGAGGATATATCAAACAAACATGCTCAAAGTTTACTTTATTTAGACGAACCAAATCCAATCACCTTCTCCTATTTTCTTAGAACCTATACTAAAGAAGGTACAGAATTATTTTCATTTCATTTCAAACTTGCATTTCTCTGGTACTGTGTTATTCCAATTTTTGTGTACCTAAGATTAGGATTAAGCTACTTTGAAGAAAGGAAACTTATGTAGGAGTTGGATAAAAAACCAAAGGCATCTCTGTTAGGAAGGTGGCTTCTATATCGTTTCGAGTTTCAAGGGGTTAGCGTGCTAATGGCTCTCACTCCTTTGATTTTGATTTTAATTTCAAGACCTACGGATTTCCTAACTACTTTCACAGAGGACATTAGACGACCCGCGAGCCCTATTTGGGGAAAAAATAGGGTTTCTGTAGGAGAGGAAATGCTCCGATATATGGAAAAATTAGCAGTAAACAGTTACAAGTTAGCTTCGTGTTTAATTACCCTTCACCAAAAAGCACTAGCGGGGTCTATAAAGTTCTTTACACATTGGGCTATTGAGCAAATGGATCCGCCACGGAAACGAGCCAAGACTCCTTTCATTGCTTTGTGGGTGTTATTCTGGAATGTTGTTTTAGTCATAGTTGTGGGCGTCATTTTTGGAGGAATATGCCTCTGTCTATTGTTATTAGGGTTAGTCGTGTTCATTTATTTGTATTCACCGTTGAATACTCTCCTAGTTTTCATTAGCAAAAAATTGCGGGAAATTTTTATACAAATATGGTATTATCACACACAGGATTTTAAGCTCATTGTTGTTGCATCATTTGCATTTTTTTTCTATGTACTCGCATTGTCAATATCAGCAGTCGGCAGTTTGGTAGGGGGCCTGTCTTGTCGATATATCTCTCTGATGTGTGGCTTAGTTACTTTAGGTCTAGTGTTAAACGTATCAATCGTGGGCCCAGTTTTAGCACTCCTTATCGTTGCTTTAACAAACATTTATCTATGCTACTACAATCTGCAAATGCGCTACCAAGATGTGAAGAAAATGATTTCGGAGAAGTGGCAGACTTATGATGGAAAAAGTGAGCACGGTGCAATTCCAGAAGATCTATTTTGGCGCATTTGTAGTGGCGCGTCAAATTCAAATAACACAGTTCCACCAGTTAGGGGTGAAGTAAACCTCATGCTTTGCAATATGGTCATCATTTTGATATTTCTATTTTTGGTTTTCTGCTCTGTATTTCTGGTGACTGATGCGAAGAGCATTTCAGCAGTGCCATCAACGATTGCTGTGTTTTTAAGCGGAGCTATTCCTGGGTTATTTTATAAGGGATTTATGGATGAAAAGCGATTTACGGGTGAGACAAGGGTGAAAATGATTAGAGAAATCGAGGAGGCGGTTATAGAGTACAAGGAAAATACCGCGGTCGAGTTGTATAATCTGATGCAAAATGATACTGAGATGGGATATTTTTACCAACTTGAGTCCTCATTGTAGGTGTGCTGTGTTCTGTCGCTCATTAATGGTTGCTTGACTGAGTATTATGTATTTCAAGGCCTCAGTACTGAAATAAATATTTCGTAAATTACCATCCTGATCTTGTATTTCCTTTGGTATTGCTCAAAATAATTTCCCAGATCATTCTTCTGCCCTACTTCCCTTTCTTAAGGAGGGACTGTTACTGATGTGAACCAAGTGGAAAATTTAATGTAGTTTTCTTATGGAAAGGACTGAAGACAAAGTAGCGTTCTCTTAATTATAGTTCATCGTAACTTATTCAGACATTTTAAGCGGAAGCAGTCGTACGAATTTTTGTTACAGGTGCTCTACTTCAGTCCCTAAATTCACATTTGTTGCCACAACATTTTTTGTGTTGAATTAGATGAGTGAGAGACGAGGTTTGACAGAAACTTTCCTGAAAAGTGAAACTATATTAGTTTTGGTTTAGGCTCATTTCCGAAAAATGAAAACAAAAATGGGAATTTCATGAATGCAGCCATAGTGTTACCATAAAAATAGTCGTTCCCATTCCTTTACGCGCGAAATATTTTCTTGTGTAAGAAGCGTGTGCACTCATTTTGTCGCTGTGTATGGTCTGCTCATGCCCAATTTTTGTTTCAACTTGGTTTTGAAAAAAAAAATTCTCCTATTGCGTGGTTGTGTTCACACTACAAAGAGATCACTCTCGGCCTTTGGCTTCCCAAATAATTGCCCCTTATGACAAGAAATCTTGATGTTTTGCATATTCTCTTTTAAAAAGTGATAACATACACCAATCCCCTTGTTCCAAGACCCCTATAAACGTTGATACTCCTTCATGGTTTGTTTTTATGGCGTAATTTATGTTTATGATTAAACTGTGGCGAGCCAACCAAAGTCTCAGTAGCTTCAAGGTTTAAGGCCAAGCCAAATTTCGCCCGACGATCTCTTCTATAGCCTGCAGTGCAGGAGTCTTATTAGGGCAAGTTAACTTTAGGAAGCTTGAGATCGTTTATTCAACCGGCCATGTTTAATTTGGAGTCAGAGTCGACGTTTAAGGGAAGAGGGCCTGGAGAGGCGTGTTGTTTCATTGCCCAACTTTCACCCCTCTCCTTCTTTTTGACCGTCGCCCACCCTCTTGATAAAAATATTTTCTTTCTCTCCCCAACCTTCCAATGCTGTAAAAATTAAGATGGCAGCTTTCTTACTTGGAACTCAGTCGCCAAAATTGCTCTCTTTCCGCAGGCTATCTCTTCTGTTGTGTTTGAGATCAATATAAACTGGCATTTGGTTCTTTTAAATTGACGAATCAAAGGAACATTTGTGTATTAATTTAAATTATAAACAGATTCAATTTTAAACAGATGTTTCCTATCTATACACCGTTACTAGGGTAAGAGTAATAAGACAAGTACTTTGATTTTCTCTAGATAATAATCAATAAATCATCATCAATTGTTTGTGAGATATTGCCTTAAATTTCCTACAAATTAGTATACAAGTAGATCAGTTTATTCAGGAACCCACCAGTCACTCACTCTCATTAGCTACGATCAGATATATTACAGATCGGGTTTAAGACCACGGAATAGAGGAGATTAAACTAATAGGCCACGAGAAAGGTTAAAGATGGGCAAGATTATTCCTTATTTTCAGAGAGGATTACAGTGCAGTTTGCAAATTGTTCTAACAGTTTTTCTTAACTGTCTGACAGAGGCGTGATGAAACTAAAGAAAACTACCATTTGGGTGTTTTTCCTTCATTTGATACTAGTTTCTCCCCTTTAGCCTACGTTGTCTTTCTTTCGATGTTATGTTTGACTGCATTTTCAATTTTTGCCAACATCTGTCTCCTGGTTAGACCACTAAATCGTTTTTCTTTAGTTAATCCCTTAAAAAACAATCTAGTTATCACCCCGGCTACAAATACAGCTACTTTGGAAACTACCGACGAAATTTTAAATGTCCTCCCGAAGAATATTATGGAACACCAAGACACAAATAAAAAGATTAAAATAAGACCCATGTTTTGAAGCCTACGCATGATCTCATTCATAACCGGTAACAGTCTTCGTTCAGATTCTGAATCACTACCGCAAATGACCCAGAAAAGATCTGCGGGGATCGTATCCTTGTCGGTCAGACTCTCACTGTTTTCACTGCTTTGCACTTGTCACTTTTGAGAAATCATTTGTTTGACATCTTGATAACGCATTTGCAGGTTGTAGTAGCAAACGTAAGAGTTTGTTGTGGTTGCTAGTAGGAAGGTTAAAAAAGGGGTGGGTAAACTCTACATTAAAAATAAATCCCATAATGATAAAAACCAAACATTCTTACAATAAATTGTCAAGAAGATGTTCCCATGACTCTATTTAACAGTAACATCCCCTTAAAATAAAAACCTATCAGCCAATTCTATACAGCGTTATATGATCATGACGGTTTTCCATTGATCTTCCGAAAGAAGACATTGGAAAGATAGAAAGTGGCAAACAAAAAATACAAAAAAATGATAACCCTATAACAATTGCACAGAAAAACAGAGCTCCAAGATATATGCAAACAAGTACTGTGACCAAGATATTAGCAATGAATTCCCCAAGGGTTTTTCAAACACCTTTTGCACTCTCTTTCAAACTCTCATTGCCCTCCAGTTTATTTGAGCATTTGGATTAATTTAATGATCGTTGTAAAATTTTTTTGTGGCCTTCAATCTTTCAACCTTCAGACTGATCGACCAATTCTGCGTCCATACCTCTTACTTGGGGAGTCAGTATACCCAGGGATAGGATATCATAGTTATATGGCAGAGACAGCATTGGCTCGCCGATCGAATTCGTCCAGACCTATCTCTCGGATAGAAATAGTCTTGGTGACTCCAGTGGATGGTAACTTTCGTCCCCAGTCAAATGCAAGTAGATCATTCTCACAATTTTCTCAGAGGCACTGAGACGGAATTCAGGAAAAAAGCGTTTTTACTATGATCATCGTTTCAATTGTCGGGTTTGGCTCGGCAAGGGGTGCAAGAGAACAAAAATATGAAGATATAGAAAACCGCCATCCTGAGGGCCATGATTCACTGTTGGGTGCTCCTACGTAAATCCTTGTAAAGCCCCATCCAAACGATTAAACATTTTTGTCTAACAGCGTGATTATTCCGCATAAAAACAAGGTGGGCTTTAAGAGCAGCCAATGTTTGTCTGTGTATTACCGCTGAAAAAGTAATGACGTGTCTGTTGTGACAACGAGGTGGTCGGCTTGCTTTGTTTGTTTAGATGGCTATACGATCAAACCTTGGCTACTAAAGCAAACTTTTGGATGAAAATGTTTCATCTAACTCAATCATGGGGAGTCATTCAAATGCACTGTTAAAGAGAGGCGGCTCTGCGTGTTGTTGGACGAAAGTGTTTAATCGTTCTGCAGGTGATACTCTGTGTCATCCTGATGGTTCAAGTGACGACGCCATCCTCATACACTTTAGAATTTTTTACTAGAGACCGAGGAATTTTGCTATCCAAACAAGGCACTTCCATCATAACTCACCTCTAGACTTTGACTGCGTGACATGCCTTCATGCTGTCGGTTCTTTGACGGGTCAAAAATCGCCTCATGCAGTAAATTAAAGCTTAGAGTCCGCGGCGTGGTGTATGTTCATCTAATCATTACCAACATTAGTCATCTTCATTTGCGCTTGGAAAATGCTACTTCTCGGCGCAAATAGTAACGCATCGGTTTGCTTCGACAAGCAGATTTTTGAATCAATGCAGACGGAACAGTTTCAAACTGAACTGAGTTAAGTTGTTGTTGTTATGATGTATTCAGTGATGTGCTCATCGCCTCTTTAATTGCTAGTGAGAATAAATCGAAAAGAAGGAAACCGAACCTTTGTTCGCCAGATTTGGAAGCAGAATTGAAATAAAACTGAAAAGTGTTACGATGAAACGAATTATTACAACGAAATGCTTGTTTAACCAGGGCATATCTGATATATTTAAAACAGAGGGGAAAAAAAACAATCAAAAACAATTATCATAGGCTTTAAAATTCACCAAAAGTTATCACTGTTCCTCTTAAAATTATCTAATTCCATGATTTTGTAACCATTGTTTCCAATCTATATATGCAAGAAGCCTGCTCCTCTGCGGTCACTCCATGCCTTCGTGCGACTCCCGCCCAGCTCGCAATTCGCTAGTTTTAGACAGAGAGGAACAGAAAAATCCATTGCACAGACTATACATACAACTTAGACCAACCTCTCACCCTTTTCGAAATTTTTTAGGCGAAATTAAAAGCATATGTACTTTCGATTTGGCACACGTGTGCAATCAACAACCTGCTCAGCGGCTTAGTGTAATTCGTTTTACTCATTCACACAATCCTTGTCGAGTCAACAAATGTTTGTAAGATAAATATGAGGGAAAAAAAAACAATAACAACAGCAGCAGCAGCAAAATTGAAAGATACGAAAATCAGTGCCTTTACGTGTAAAATAATGGCCTTTTTTATTATTTCAAGCAGCATCAAAGAAAAACCACAGTGCACAGTTTTAATTAATTTGAAAAACACACCAATATCTCTATATGAAATTATAAATTATTGATACACCTCGTAAATTGGTTAAGTTATTACGAATAGGTTACCTTTCATTTATTGCTTTTAAAAATCAAGCAGGAAAAAGAAGAAAGGAAGGAAGACAATGACAACTGTGGAATTTCTTTGGCTTACATTGTGCACTTTAAAGTAAACATGAGTTGTTAGTTCCACGCGAGGGTTTAACCTTAAAAAAAGCATGCACGATAGTGTCGCTAACATTAACGTGTGTACCTCTTTGGAAAACATTTGTATTATGACAAAAAAAAGTCATCTTAAAGATTTTTGGTTACTCTCGCTATACCATTTGGACGCCGAAAAGTGCCAAAAAAGTAATTGCCGAAAATTCATTCGCAACACCTCAATCGTACTCTTACAGTTAATAATTACCAGGCGGATCTCAGATCTGTCTTACCCTAATTTGCATAATTGGTGGGTAAAGCTCGTCATGCTTGGATTACCGTCTGAATATAATCAAAACATGGCCATCAAGTTTATCGCTCCTTTCTCTGTGCTTCTTTTCTTTCCTTCTTCTTGCCAAGCCAAGCCAGAGAACTTCAGTGAGGCTCAGTGCAAGGTCTTACCAGTTGGACAAGAGACTGCGCCCCAATTCTGCGTTCAGGCTTCCGAGAGGGGTGTTAGAATAGTCTACTTGGATTTGAAGTTCCGTAACGACAGCTACCGTCCATCAGAGTCAGAAAACGAGTTTCTCCCAAATAGATGGGTCTGGGCGAATTTGATCAGCGAGCCAATGTTGTCTTTGTCCTATGACTATGACATTTTATCCGTAGGCCTCCTTAAATACCAAACAAGAAGTATGGATGTGCTGTTGGAAGATCACCCAAGCGGATGCCTTGCGAACTTCAACTCATCCTATCAAAACAAGGTAGTTGGAAGAGCGCTTTTGAATATGACACAGTTAAACTCAGGTGAACTTCCAGATAGGAATGTTGTTTGTGTTGCGATGATTGAAGATTACTTTAATGACTTTTTATGGAGCTTCTTTGATGGAAATGTCAGATTCCAGTGCTGTAGGATGAGCAAAGAAGAAACCACGGAGTCTGCTTCAATTCAATGTGAGCTGGATGTTCATGTTAGTGGTTGGTTTAAAGCTTTTAATGGCACCCTCAACCTTTTGACTCTGCTGATGATGCTTTATTGTCCAGCGTTTCTCCTTTTCCTGCCGGACTCAATTTTTAATCTTCAAGAGGAGTGTAAAAAAGAAGAGCGACACGAAAACGATAACTATCATCGACAGAGCAGTCCACAAAGAAGCAGGTACGGATCAACCGATGAAGCTTCAGTAAATGTCAATGCAGAAAATAGCGATTCAGTTCCTCTTGTAACTTTAACAATTCCGACTCAGAGTCAGGAAGGTTATTCCCAAAGTTTACTTTATTTAGACGAACCAAATCCGATTACCTTCTCCTATTTTCTCAGAAATTATACCAAAGAGCGTACAGAATTATTTTCATTTCATTCCAAATTTGCATTTCTCTGGTACTGTGTTATTCCAATTTTTGTGTACCTAATATTAGGATTAAACTACATTGTAGAAGGTAAATTTATGAGGGAGGTACATAAAAGGCCAAAAGCATATCTCTTAGGACCTTTGTTTTCATATCTTTTCGATTTTCAAGGTTTTCTTGGCTGGATAACGGCTCTCGCTCCTCTGATTTTGATTTTATTTTCAAGTCCTAAGGATTTCCTAATTACTGTTAGAGGGGATATTAGACAAGTCGTATGCCCTGTTTGCAAAGAAAATACGGTTTCAGTAGGAGAGGACATGCTCCGACACTTAGGAACATTAGCAGTAAAAAGTTACGAGGTAGCTTCGTATTTGATTAACCTTCACCAAAAAGCACTAGCAGGATCTACAAAGTTCTTTACACTTTGCGCTATCGAGAAAATGGGTCAGCCATGGAAACGAGCTAAAACTCCTCCTATTGCTTTGTGGGTGTTATTCTGGGATGTTGTTTTAGTCATAGTTGTGGGTGTCATTTTTGGAGGAGTATGCCTCTGTCTATTGTTATTAGGGTCAATTTCGCTTATTATTTTGTGTTCACCATGGTTTAGTCTGATCCTTGTCTGCTTTAGGAAACTTAGGCAAGTGTCAAAAGAATGGATCATCATAGTTGGTTTTCATCTACTCCTAACGGCAATATTAACAGGCGGCTGTTTGATAGGGGGCCTTTCTTGTCGATGTATCACTCGCATGTTTGGCTTAGTTACTTTAGGTCTAGTGTTAAATGCGTCAGTCGTAGGCCCATTCCTAGCGCTCTCTATCGTTGCTTTAACAAACATTTATCTATGCTACTATAATCTGCAAATGCGCTACCGAGATGTGAAAGAAATGATTTCGGAGAAGTGGCAGACTCTTGATGAAAAACGTGAGCACGGCGCAGTTCCAGAAGATCTATTTTGGCGCATTTGCGGTGGCACGTCAAATTCAAAGAATGCAGTTCCACCAGTTAGGGGTGAAGTAAACCGCATGCTTGGCAAAATGGCCATCATTTTGATATTTCTATTTTTGGTTTTCTGCTCTGTATTTCTGGTAACTGATGCGAGCAGCATTTCAGCAGTGTCATCAACGATTGCTGTGTTTTTAAGCGGAGCTATTCCTAGCTTATTTTTCAAGGGATTGACAAACGAAAACCGATTTACGGGAGAAACAAAGGCGAGAATGATTAGAGAAATCGAGGAGGCGGTTACAGAGTACCAAGAAAATACCACAGTAGAGTTGTATAATCTGTTGCAAAATGATGCTGAATTTACTATATGAACTGGCTTAGGACTAATATAATGAAGGGTCATGATATCCCGAAAGTACCACGATCTTAACTGGGTCACTTTCTCAGCCTTTGCTTGGTTTCGTGAGGAAGGGCGCATCAGCTTTCCCAGCTACTACTACTTTTCATATTCATTCCTTAGTGCTTCTAAGTACTCTAAAAGGGCACTATCATTTGTTAAGATATAAGCTAGAAGCAAGATTAGATAGCTCATTGTTTTTTGGCTAATCTTAGTCCTCACCCTAGGTGTACTGTGTTCTATCACTTATTAATCGTTGCTTAATTGAGTATTATGTATTTCAAGTCCTCAGTGCTGAAATAAATATTTCGTAAATTATATTCATGATCTTGTATTTTCTTTGGTATTGCGTAAAACAATTTCAAAAATTATTATTCTTTCCCTCTACCCTTTCCTAGACAGGGAGCCCGACCTATGACCTGCCACTAGCTTTCGGAGCTAAATCGGAGGTTCAGCAGACACAGCGGCAAGTGAGTGCGCATGCTCGGCGAATTTGGCGCGTTCGAGGAGCTTTTAGTGATTCCAGCGTGAATGAATTTCGTTGGGGAACGAGCAGAACATCGTTTCACACTTTCTGGGCAGTTACTGATCTAAATCAAGTGGCAAATTTAATAAATTTTACTCTTATGGAAAGGACTAAAGAGGAAGTAGCGTTAATCTTTAGCTGTTTTAAACTTATCCAGACATCTTAAGTGGTAGCTGTCGGTACGAATTTTGTAACACTGTTAAGAATGTCCTACCTCAGTCCCTAAATTCACATCCGTTACTGCAAGATTTTTTTGTGTTGAATTAGAGAGAGACGAGGTTTGACAGAAACTTTCCTAAAAACTGAAACCTCATCAGTTTTGGTTTGCACTTATCTCCCAAAAATGAAAACAAACAAGCAATGGGAATTTTATAAATGCAGCCATTGTGTTACGATAGAAATAGTCGTCACTCATTTTGTCGCTGTGGAGGGCCTGCTCATGCCCAATCTCTTTCAACTTCGTTTTCTTTTCTCCTAATGCGTGGTTATGTTCCCGCTCTAGAGAGATTATCAGAAATAATTTTAAAACAGTAAGTAGCTGGTATATTAATGAAATGATGAAACAAAATTGATCTGTGCTATCGCAAAATATCACAATGTGTCATTGTTCGCATATCAATTATTTGCTTCAGCCTTTGGCTTCCCAAATGATTGTCCCATCTGACCAAATATCTCGATGATTTGCCTATTTTCCTCTGACAAGTGATAAAGTACAGCAGTCCCCTTGTTCAAAGATCCCTACAAACGTTGATACTCCTTCATGTGCTGTTTTTATGGCGTAATTTATATTTATGTTTAAATTGCAGCGAGCCAACGAGAGTCTCAGTAACCTCGAGGTTTAAGGCCAAGCCATGATTTTTCAAAATTTATCCTAACGATCTCTTCTGTTGCTTGTAGTGCAGGCGTCTTATTAGGGCGAGTTAACTTTAGAAAGCTTGCGATCGTTTATTCAACCGGCCTTGTTTGATTTGGAGTTAGAGTCGACGGCGAAGGGAAGGGGGCCTGGAAAGACGTATTTTTCATTGCCCAACCCCCTCCCCTCTCCTTCTTTCTGACCTTCGCTCACCCTCTTGGTACAATTTTTTTATCTCTCCCCAGCCTTTCACTGCTGTAAAAATTTAGGATGGCAGCTTTGATACTTGAAATTCAGCCGCCAAAATTACTTTCTTTCTGCAGGCTATCTCTTCTGTTGTGTTTTAGATCAATGTAAACTTTGTGCACGACAAAAACTGAGCACAATTGAATAATTATCACTTATAAAATAACGGGACTGTCGCTAGCATCTTCTCAACCATTAATTAGCGTGTATTTCGTGCTAAATACTCACGTTTGCTTATGGAGTGGTCAAATTGTACTCGATCTCAAGTTTTTTTGATCAAACGAATGTGAAGCATTAAACTACATTGTAGAAAGTAAATTTATGAAGGAGGTGCATAAAAAACCAACGGCATCTCTGGTAGGACCGTTGTTTTCATATCTTTTCGATTTTCAAGGTTTTCTCGCGCGGCTAATGGCTCTCGCTCCTTTGATTTTGATTTTACTCTCAAGTCCTAAGGATTTCCTAATTACTGTCAGAGAGGATGTCAGACAAGTTATATGCACTGTTCGCAAAGAAAATACAGTTTCAGTAGGAGAGGACATGCTCCAACACCTAAGAAAATTAACAGTAAACAGTTACAAGTTAGCTTCGTGTTTAATTAACTTTCACCAAAAAGCACTAGCAAAATCTATAAAGTTCTTTACAAGTTACGCTATTAAGAAAATGGGTCCGCCATGGAAACGAGCTAAAACTCCTTTCATTGCTTTGTGGGTGTTATTCTGGGATGTTGTTTTAGTCATAGTTGTGGGTGTTATTTTAGAAGGAGTATGCCTTTGTATATTGTTACTAGGGTTAGTCTTGCTCATTTATTGGTATTCACCGTGGTTTAGTCTCATGCTTGTCTGTTTAAGGAAACTTGGGCAAATGTTAAAAAAATGGAGCCTTGAAGTATTCAACAAATACCGTCATTGTCTCACACCGATGTTCATCGGTGTTCAAATTTTTCTGGTTGGTTTTCAGCTACTGCTAATGGCAATATTAACAGACGGCTGTTTGGTAGGGGGCCTTTCTTGTCGATGTATCACTCACATGTGTGGCTTAGTTACTTTAGGTCTAGTGTTAAATGCATCAATCGCGGGCCCATTCGTGGCGCTCTCTATTGTTGCTTTAACAAACATTTATCTATGCTACTATAATCTGCAACTGTGCTGACTGAAACAACTGTGCAACTGAAAGAAATGATTTCGGAGAAGTGGCAGACTCTTGATGGAAAATGCGAGCACGGTGCAATTCCAGAAGATCTATTTTGGCGCATTTGCAGTGAAGTGTCAAATTCAAAGAACGCAGTTCCACCAGGTAGGGGTGAAGTAAACCGCATGCTTAGCAATATGGCTATCATTTTGATATTTCTATTTTTGGTTTTCTGCTCTGTATTTCTGATGACTGATACGAGCAGCATGTCAGCAGTGCCATCAACGATTGCTGTGTTTTTAAGCGGAGCTATTCCTGGGTTATTTTTCAAAGGATTGACACACAGAAAGCGATTTACGGGTGAGACAAGGGTGGGAATGATTAGAGAAATCGAGGAGGCGGTTATAAAGTACAAGGAAAATACCGCGGTAGAGTTGAATAATCTGTTGCAAAAGGACGATTTATCGAATGAACTGGCTTTGGACTGATACAATGAAGGGTTATGATATTCCGAAAGTGCCGCGATCGTCGTGCGTCCCTTTCTCAGCCTTTGCTTGGTTTCGTTACTAATTTTCATATTCATTCCTTAGTTCTTCTAAGTACTCTAAAAGGACACTATCATTTGTTAAGAGGCGAACTAGAAGGAAGATTAGATAACTTATTGATTTTGCCAATGTTAATCCTGACGCTATGTGTGTATGTTCCATAAGTTATTAATCATTGCTATCACTTATTAATCGTTTCTTGACTGAGTATTATGTACTTCAAGGCCTCTGTACTGAAATAAATATTTCGTAAATTGCATTCATGACTTTGTAATTTCTTTGGTATTGCTGAAAATAATTTCACAGATCATTATTCTGCCTCTCTTCTCTTTCCTAGGCAGAGAGCCCGTCATATGACTCGCCACTAATTTTCGGAGCTAAATCGGAGGTTCAGCAGACACATCGGCAAAATGAGTGCGCATGCTCAGCGGATTTGGCGCGTTCGAGGAGCGTTTAAAGATTCCATCGTAAATGAATTTCGTTGGGAGACGAAAAAAAACATCGTTTTACACTTTCTAGGCAGTTACTGATCTAAACCGAGTGTAAAATTTAATGGAGTTTGCTCCTATGGAAAGGAATGAAGAGAAAGTAGCGTTCATCGTAAGCTGTTTTAAACTTATCCAGACATGTTAAGTGGTAACTTTGTAACACTGTTACGGATGTTCTACTTCTGTCCCTAAATTTACATCTATTATCGCAAGGTTTTTTGTGTTGAATTAGAGAGAGACGAGGTTTGACAGAAGTTTTTCCTGAAAACGGAAACCTTCTCAGTTTTGGTTTGCGCTTACCTCCGAAAAATAAAAACAAGCAAAACAATGGGAATTTTATAAATGCAGCCATTGTGTTACCATAGAAATAATCGACCCCATTCCTTTACGCGCCTAAAAATTTCTCATGCATAACAAGCATGTGCACTCATTTTGTCGCTGTGTATGGTGTGCTCATGCGCATTTTCTTTCAACTTCGTTATGCAAAGAAAAAAAGTTTTCCTTCTAATGCGTGGTTGTGTTCATGCTCCAGGAAGATTACTAGAAATGATTATCAAACATTAAGTAGCTTGTATATTAATGAAACGATGAAACAATGTTGATCTTTGTCATCACAATGTGTCATTGTCTCGCAGATCAATTATTTGCCTCAGCCTTTGGCTTCCCAAATAAGTGTCCCTTCTGACCAGATATATTGATGTTTTGCTTATTCTCTTCTGACGAGTGATAAAATACACCAGTCCCTTTGTTCAAAGACCCTTACAAACGTTGATACTCCTTCATGTGTTGTTTTTTTGGCGTAATTTATGTTTATGTTTAAAGTGTGGCGAACCAACCAAAGTCTCAGTAACCTCGAGGTCTAAGGCCAAACTATGATTTTCCAAATTTCTCTCGACGATCTCTTCTGTAGCCTGCAGTGCAGGCGTCCTTTGAGGGCGAGTTAACTTTAGGGAGCTCGTGATCGTTTATTCAGCCGGCCATGTTTGATTTGGAGTTAGAGTCGACGGTGAAGGGAAGGGGGGCCTGAAAAGGCCTCCTCTCCTCCTTTTTGACTGTCGCTCACTTCTTGGTACTAATTTCTTTCTCTCCCCAGCCTTTCACTGCCTTTCCATTGCTGTAAAAATTTAAGATTGCAGCTTTAATATTTGAAACTCGGCCTCCAAAATTACTCTCTTTCTGCAAGCCACCTCTTCTGTTGTGTTTTAGATCAATGTAAATTTTCTGTACGACAAAAACTGAGCACAGCTAAATGTATCATACATACAATTACGGGACTCTCGCTAGTATCAACCTCCATTAGCGTGTTTTTCGTTTGCTATAATGGAGTGGTCAAGTGTTTTTTATTCAAAGAATGTGAAGCATTCAGCAGTTTGCTTCTGTTCTACATTTTACAAAGTAAAATTTAAACAGAAAAACGAACCTTCAAATCCTTTCGATAAGAACGTACCAGAGCACTAATCGAGTATGCTGTCTTTGAATGAGTGCGGCAGCGATTCTGACGCACTCATATCGGCGTCATATTTCTCTTGATGATCCACAGAGGTCTTTCATCCGTTTTTGTAATAACAACGATGCAAAGTGATTGTACTGCAAACCGATTACCAGTTACAGACAAGTCTGTATAGACAGAACAGTTTCAATCTGAACTGACTTAAGTTGCTGTCGCCATGGTGCATTCAGTAAAGTGTTCATCGCTCCTTTAATTGCTAGTGTGAATAAATCGACATTAAAGGAAACTCAAGCCTTGTTCGCCAGATTTGTAAGCAGAATTGAAATTAAAATAAAGGATTACAATGAACCAAATTACCATAATGAAATGCTTATTAAACCAGGGGGTATCTGATATTTACAAACAAAAAAAACAAAGCAAACAAAACAACGGTTGGAAGGAAAAGCAATGAAATATGTTTTTTAGTATTTGGAGTTTAAGCAGCTTATGTTGTTCATAGCACTTCCAAAGTGAATATTACAGGGAAAAGTCATGTACTAAGTATTGAAGAAAAAAATATTGTGACTCAGTGCATAGCTGCTGTCATTCTTGATATTCAAACTCAAGAAGACCTTTCTCCGAAGCACTGGGACGAAATTCGGGATCAAAGCGTTTTTCAAACAGAAGAACTTGGCATGGATCGTCGCTGTGATTGTCAAATTGCGCTTGGCAAAGAGTGTAATAAATGCAAATTATATAAAGAATAAAATCAGACTGAGACTTTGTTTTCTCATTTCATTGGGCCCGGGCGCACTGGACAAAATTTTTTTTTATTTTGCAAAAAAAATTTGACATTAGTTGCGTTAGACATGTGTGATTTTTTTTCCTACTAAATCTTGTTAGGCCTTACCAATCTTCGAGGGCGCCGTCGAAATGTTCCCAGAGCAGAACATATTTTTGTCGAGCGTGAAATCCGAGAAATGCGAGTCTTGCAGGTAGAGGCCTTCCAAAATATTTAATTTTTACCTAGGTACCTGACAATCGTTATGCAGCAGAACTCAGAAAACAAATACTAGCGGAGCTCGCAGCGCCCAGCGTAGCTCTAAAATTATACAAAATAGAAGTCACCCATTAAACCGAAAAAAATTGGAATTACGACCGTACGACCGACTGTACAAGGTGCTACTTTTAGCATGCACGGCCAACTGTACCACGGGCACTATCTTAGCCATTACGTAATGGAAGGGCGGGGGAGAAGGTGATAGCAGGCGCGATTGCATACGTAACTTGGATACCCCATTAGTGTGCGCCAGGAGATACCGGCAGATGACAATGAAGTGCGCATATTTGAGTGTCGAGCCTCAGTGTAGCGTACCGCGGGCACACAGTTAGGCATTGCATGAGGGCTTCACGTGGGAAAGTAGATGTGAAGCCGCGTAAGCAAATAATTTGCAACCCGCGTTTTGCAAGTGGGAAATCAAACTTGTGAGGTTGAAGTTGTACAGTAATTCTCAGTATTTTGCAATTTCTGATCGACTCGCAAAGCAAAAATACCGGCAGAGCCAAAGCCTTGTCCACGGGAGGAAATTGTTATAATTCAAGTTTGTGGAGAGAGGGTTTTGAGTGAAAATAGGATGAAAAGAAAGAGACCGAGCGACCAAAAAAAAAAAAAACAAGAAGTAAAAGACGTAAAGCGAGTCCAGAAAAACGCGCAAGAAAGTTAGAGAGGGCACCAAAATAGGCAGAATACGGCGAAAGGAACGCGGAAGAGAACAAGAAAAGACATAAGTATAAAGGCGAATATCTAGAGAAGAGCAACGCGAGAAGGAAATACAAAGGCGCTCCTGAAAACAGACTGAGAAGAGGTCATCAACAAAGAGAAGCGAACGACAAAAGATCCGAGAAAGAAGAGGAGATAAGTCGTGTCTTATCTGGGTTTTCTCTTTTTAACAACCGCCGTTTAACGCTAGCTTCAGTTTGTAATTAAAATCACGTTTTGGTAAAACAACGACTTTGACCTTCATCGCCTACAAACCTTCGCGGCGGTTCACCGCCCAAATAACATTTCAAAGTGTTCGTTGTCTTCAAGGTATTTCTTGTCCTCTCGTTTGCAGTGTTTTATACAGTCGTGGTGTCAACGGAAAAGAAGTTATCTTACGGATTTTGTTTTTCTTAGAAAGCTTTCAAATGATAGCGAACGGTGAGCGCAAGTTTCCACCTCTTTCTCTCTTCAGTCAATATTATCACAGGATTTACTCTATTCACTAAAAAAAATCGCGCTTCGTCGAAGAAGTGTTGTTTCAACCTAAGAACGAAGTAGTAGCCGTTCCCAAATTTGAAATTAAATGAGATTGAGTGAGCGATGTCCATGTTTACATTAAGTCTGACGTGGTAATTTTATTTTGACAATATTGTCATGAGAGAATCCGTCAAACATCTGAGAATTAAATTACGGACCGCATATGTGTGGTACAAACAAACTCACGGGTGAAATGGAGTTAGTCCTACTGCGAAATGAGCGTTTGAATTTCATTGTTTAATCATGGTACTTTTCATGCT